GCACTTAAGGACCCTGTAGGAGCCGTGTTTGAGAGCTCAGGTGGCTCGGACCTTAGCTCGGAGCGTATGCCAGGGAACGAACTTGTCCATGTATTCCTTGTTAGATGCTGAGATGACGTTGCACTGTCTTACCTTGCTTTTGTACTGACCTTTACTGCCTTGCCCTTTTTGCCTCTTCTGCTTGCCTTGCTGCCTTTCCTGCACTTGCCTTGCCCTGCACTGTTCTTTGCACTTGCCTTCACCTGCGTTGTTTCGGAGAGCCCTTGTCTTCTCCTGCACTGCTTTTTGTACTGCCGCGACCTTCTGTAACTGTCCTGGCAGTAGTTTCCCAGCGTCGCTCACCTGCCTTATACGGTAAGCCTTACGTCTTTGTCGATGGGTGATGCTTTCTGAGTGGGTGCTGAGATGCAATGGCTGCGGGTCTATCCCTGCATTCCTGCCGCAGAACCGGCAACCCAGATCCCAAGCGAAGCTTTTGCATGCGGGTTATCCCTGCGATATGGCAGTGAGGATGCTTGGCCGAATGAACCCCTTGCAGGCCCCGTGTTGGTGCTGACGGGTGTATCCCTGTCATAGAATGAGCACCCGGAGACACACACGTAGATCTCTTGTGCAGCCATGGCTTACCCTGCGTCCGTGGCTGTGGCGCAAGCGATGACTGGGTTGGGATGCTGCCTAGGGTTGCCTGCAAGAGGCGCCTGCCTGACGGAATCCACAATGCTGCCCCTTCTATGGCTATGGTGCCGAGATCCTGGCATACCAAGGGCTGAGCCAAGAGGCAAAGATGAGGGCGAATGCGAGGCGGTTGCTGCAGCCTGCCCTTCTCAGAAGTGTCGACGGCTGGAAGCAGGTAGTGGATGTAGCTTGAGACGCTGCGGATCGCAACTTGTCCGCAAGCTTGGGCACAGCACTGGCGGTGTGGCTGGCGAGATGAGCTCTTGCTGCCTGTACCTACGCCACTGACCGTGAACAGGATGGAACGAAGTGCTGCTCGTGACGCAGCTTTGCCACTGTTGTGCTGCTTTTGCTGCTTGGGAGATCACTGGGAGAGCAGGGATGCCCTGTGTCAGTGTGTGGACGCCTGCTTCCTGGAGACAGCTCGGTTGCTCGTAACGCAGCTCTGACGATGCCTTGCCAAACTGTGGCTGCCGGAGGGACCACTGGGAGAGTGGGAAGTCCTGAGACAGCGAGTGGATGGCTGGTTGCTGGGGACTGCTGAGTTTGGAAGGATGGCAGTGTACTTTTTTGGTGTGAGGGAGTGAGTGCCGTCGTGGAGTGCTTTTCGTGTAGATTGGGGATGCGCAATATAGGATTGTCCTCCTGTCCCTGCGCTTCCGCGTGGGGCTGGGTTTGAGGCCAATGTGCTTTGGAAGACTGTTAGTGATCAGGCCAATGAGCTTTGGATGGTGACCGCGTAGTGTACTGAAGCCTCGCCTGCTTTGTCGAGTGTGAGTGCTAAAAAATTTATTTCCACTGACATGAAGACTTCGGAACGTGCACACCGAAGTCGGATCCAGCGGTAGTTTCCGGCCATTCCCGGCGCCAGGTTGCCTTGGTAAGTGACTGCTGGCCGAACGTAACCCGTAAGAATGCCGCACTGTGGCAATTCCTTACATCTTCAGTGCTGAGGCGGGACAAAACGCAAAGTTTTCGCACACATGTTGCCGGCAGGGG